GGTGAAGGGAAGAAGCATGTTATTGATCCTTGGCTGAAGATAGAATGTTTGGGCGAAAGTGACGATTTAAATAATTCGCCAATTGACCTGTCATGGTATAACGCAAAAGTTTACCCAAGGCCTAACAAAAGATTGAAGAGATCTGATGGTTAGTGATAAAGCGGTAAGAATTCCGCTTAGTTGTAACTATATTAAAATTACTAAAAACGAACAATTATAACTAGATAAGTCTGCATTCGAGTTTTTTTTTCTTTAGATTATTTATTATCACTTTAGATTACATTCAACTTTATATTGCAAAAAGGACACTTGGAAAACGCGAATGTAGTTTTAGAAAATCATTAGTATATTCCTTTATTATTACATAGTCGATTATTGATCAAATCTTTCCCCAAGAATTGTAAAATAATTTTTTAAGTTAGACTTATCAAATATTAAAAATTTTAGTATAACAGTTAACTTCACCCCGATCAATTAAGAAATAATTTCGATAAAGAAGATTATTTATAGGCGAACGTACTCAGATTGATATTTTAAAAAATATTATAGTTTAAAATTATTCTTTTAACAATGGATTCTAAATAATAATTATAAAATTATAAAGTTATAAAATTTATACATAGTATATATTATTATTATTATTAAATTATAAACATATTAATATAGAGTAAATTAAATATGAAGTAAATTTTATATAAAAGGAAAATAGCCAACTATTACTTATATTTTAGATAATATATACAGTATATACATATTTTTTATAATTTTATTTTGTTTATTTATTTAGTATTAACTTTATTTATTTATATTTAACAAGATATATATTTGTAAAAGAAATGATATTTCTTAGATACAAAAAATACAATAAGTTAAATACTAATCTGTTTATAACAACTATTTAGCCAATATAAAATTTTAAAAACAATTTATGTAAAGTTAAATAATATCAAGTAATTATACAATTTATTTGAAAAAAATTTTATAAAAAAAAAAAATAATAAGAAAATTTTTTGTTCAATGTTTTATTATTTTGATTTTTTTTTTTGAAGGAACAGGCAGTTCTTATGTACTTTTTTTATTATAAATTTTAGACTTACAAGTACAAGATTTACAACCTATACTATAGTATATATCTTTTTTTGCTAGAAAGAGTTTAATACAAGATATACAATTGCAGTTTATTCACCTAAGCTTCTTAGCATCACTCAAGAATATAGAAAAAGAAAATTCAAAACCTATATGTCTCAAATGAAATTTAGCTATCTAGAAAATTTAATTATCTAATTATATAAAAGTATTGCAACCACTATATACAGGTTGGCCTCCAAGTTATAATTAGGATTGGTACATTTGTTTTCCAAATATGACTTGATATATGACAAGTGGAACAAGAATTTGTTTCAAGTTATATTAAATTAAAATATATCAAAATAAATCAAATCTTTCATCATTTGTATCTAGTATTAATTTTTTATTTGAACCCATTATTAGAACTAAAGGTTAAAGAGTAGTAACCATCTTTATTATCAAGGCAATTCTTTAATAACACTAATCTTTTACTATTTTTACCTAATATAGACTTCTTATTTTGAAACCTATTATTAGGACTGTAAGCTAAGAGGCAGCAATTAATTTTGCTGTTAGAGTAGCTTTGAAAAATATATTTTGTTTTTAAGGTAAACTGGAATTAGAAAGTGTAAAGAAAGTTTAGATATAATATAGTAATTTGTTAAGAAAGATGTTAGATATATAATAGAGTTAAAGTTTTTTAAAGATATTGATATCTAACCTTATACAATAAGCCTATATTGTTAAAGAGACAAGTAAGAAACTTTCATTGTTATTACCAGCTCATATTATAGGGTAACTAGAATTTCTGGTCTTTATATATTATCTTACTAAATTCTTCAATCACTAATATAATATTTGTAAACTAATCTAACTTATTGTTAACTGTATTGATATTGATTGCCATATTCCTTTAGATATAGTGGAGTGTAATTTCTTGAATATTTTTGAATAATAATAGTTATATATCAATTTTTTAGATATATATAGTCTAACTATTAACAAGTAAATAATATGAATTTGATAATGATAATCATATTGATCTTTTGAAAAGGTAAACTATGTGTTTTTTTTCTGTAAGGTCATGAAAGAGAAAAAAATTCTAAAGCTTATGTCTTGAAAGAAATTATTACTTTTGGATATAGTTTTTGAGAAAAGAGAATCAACTGGCTAGGGAAATGATATTATAGAGAGCAGAGTTTATAAAAGAAAGAGAGGCCTAAAAAAAAAACTTTAAAAAAAGAAAAAACTTGAAAGAAAAAAAAAAAAGAAAAAGATGAAATATATAAAAGAGTATATAAAAGAGAAGTGATAGAATAGAAAAAAGAGAAATAAAGAGATATAGGAGAGGAAAAATAAAGAAGAAGAGAAAGAAGAAAGCAAAAAAAAAAATAAACAACTCAAAAATTTTCTAAAAAAGAAAATTTCAAGCACAGAAAGAAAAGTAGAAAAAGTTTTTTAACTTATCATTTTGATTTTTTGTTACTTGTTATTAAGATTATTATTAATATAAATAAATATGAAACCAAAAATAATTGCACTGATATTTTTTATTATAATTCAATAATAATAATTTAATTGAGATAAAACTTTAAATATACAGTATATATATTATATCCTAATTAATAAATTTATTTGAAAATATTGATTTAAAGTTAAAAAAAATTTAAAAAAATGTATTATAAATTTTATATATAAATTTATATATAAAATATAGATAAAAATTAAAATTTTACTATAGAAAAGCTTTTAAAAAAATTAAATATAAAAATAAATAAAACTTTTAAACTAATAAAAAAAATTATAAAAGATTTATTATTATATTTAATAAATGCTATTAAAATTGATTTATTTTTTTATTATATAAATTTATTTTTAAAAAATCTTAAAAATTTTTAAAAACTCTATATTTAATATTTTTTTTTTTTTTGAACAGGTGGCTTACACCTTGTTTATTAAATATTTTACAATGAGTATATACAAATTTATTTTATACAAATTTATCACTTTATCTACCTAATTAAACTCACTAAGGAGTTTCCCTACCATACAGCTTATTGTCAAGTACTGGTATATACTTGACTGATTTGCCAAGGCTCTACCTGTCCCATAAAAATTTTGTTTTAAAAGAATATATTGTGTTCCAGTTGATCCAGTAAAAGCTGGAGTATTTCATGATTTCGTTAATTCCAGGGATAGAGTATTTGTGTGTGTTCTTTTTTGTGTTGATTGGTTTCCATTGTCTTTTGTCTTTTGCTGTGATGTTGTGTTCTTTTTCCCACTGTGCGAAGTTGTTGCATCTGTGTTTCCATTTCTCT